TCTGAAGATTTACCCACCTAACCACCCACCCATCCATCCATCCATCCACTCACCCATCCACCCACCCATCCATCCACCCATCTATCCAACCATCCATCATCCACCCACCCACCCATCCATCCATCCATCCACTCATTCATCATTGTCTGACTTTCCATCCATCAATCTGACCATCCACCCCTCCACCCATCCACCTTTCATCTATCTATTCATCCCTCAGTGTCTTCTATCCATCACTGGATTGTCTGTCTGTCCATCCATCAGTGTGCCTATCAATCATCATTGCCATCCATCCATCTCTTCATGCATCCATTCATCCTCGCAGTCAGCCATCCTTCCCCAATCCATCATTTGACTGTCTTTCTATCCATCCGTCAGTGTGTCCATTATAATTTGTGCCCATCCACCCATCCGTTCCTATATTATTCATCAATCCATTGCCCCACATGTCCATCTGTCTACCCACCTACCCTTCCATCCACCCATCCATGATTCACCTTTTCCCTCATGCATACATTCATCTATCCATTCAATACACATTTACTAGGTACCCACTCCCTTTACTAGGAACAAGCTACAACAATGAACAAGCTACAACAGCCCTTACGGAGTTCACAATCTAGATTGTGACAATCTAAATTGGGATGCCTCCAACCCAGGCAGAGATCTGGGAAGGCCACCTGGAGGCGAGTCCATGAAGGCTGAGGAGCCCTCCACCCCGTGAAGCTGATAGAGAGCAGGTCCAGGGCTGGCAGCCAGAGAAAGGAAGTGATGCAGGAGTCTCCACTAGAGACGGCTCAGAATTCTACCCCCACCCCTCACAGCTACTCACTGTGCACCGACCCTCAGCACACCCAGCCCAGTGATGGGACACAGACAAGCAAGAACAAGCACTCCCCCAGGGATCAGAGTGTGGGGGGGGTGGAGGGTTGGGGGGTGTCCCCAAGCCCGGGGTGGGGGGCAGTCCTCGCCCACCTAGGAACTGCTGCACAGCGTTCACGGCCTCCACATCCTCCACCACCTCAGAGAAGATCCTGAACTCCTGCACGCATGCCAGGGCCCCCGCGGCCACCGTCTTGGCACCCAGGCACTTGGCGACACTGCGAGAAGCAGCAGGCAGGGGAGTGAGTGCGGGGGGGGTGGGGGGGGGCGCAGGTCTCCTGCCCACACAGGCCCAGTGCCCCTCCCCCAGGCTGCCTGGGCCAGGGTTTGCACAACAAGAGCCTAGCACAGAGCCTGCCCCCACCCCCCAGGGGTTCGGAAATCACCTGTCCCTGAATGATGGATAAACAGGCGCCATCCCTCAACTGCAACCCTGCACTGTAGGGTTGGCCATTCCTGCAGGTTCCAGAAGGCCAGGCAGATAAAAAGGTGTTTTTTCCCCCATTTTATCCATTAATAACTATTTAGCAAGTCTATACTATAGATGATATTTATTGAAGATTCACCAAGGGCTGGATGCATGGATTTTCTGTTTTAATCCTTACAATCACCGTTTGTGTGAGAAATTTAGGGGCTCCATTTTACAGCTAAGGAAACCACAGCTCAGAGAGGTCAAGGACTGACTCAAGGATACACAGCCAGTCAGTAGCAGTGTGGGTTCAAACCAAGGTAGTCTGGCACCGGGTCCTTGCTCTTTCCCTCTGTGGCTGGGACCCCCTCCACTTAGGTGGGACCCCCCCCCCCACTCAGGCGTTCCAGGCCCAGGAGAGTACATAGGCTGGAGCCAGGCGGTGTGGTTTCAAACACTGGCTCCATGTTGTGTGACCTTGGGAAAGTCACTTCTCTGATCCTATTTCCTCACCTGACAAATGCGGATAATAGCAGCACTTAGCTCATGAGGTTGTCATGGGATTGACTGAGTTAAAACCTCAGAAGTGGGCCCTCCCTGGTGGCACAGTGGGTTAAAGCGCAGCCCTGCAAGCCAGCCACAGAGCTTCAGTGCCCATCTGATCCCGGCCCGGAGGTGACCCACAGGGCGCGGCAGGCCTCTCCTGTCCTGCCCGCTGCTCCCCTCAGCAGTGTGCTTCATCCATCTGCTTGTCCTGCTCCCCACTCTGTCTCTGGTGAATCACCCCCCCCCCGCACCTCTGGCCTGTACCCCAGTCCTGTATGCATAAATAAATCTTAAAAAAAAACCTCAGAAGTGCTTAGACTAGAGTGGAAACCTAGTCCTACAGAAGTGTGTTGTGGTTGTTTTTATCGCCGTACTAGGAAGCTCATTCTCAGGGGGGAAACATCAGCTCAGGAAACATAGGAAGAAATAGATAACCACCCCCATGAAGCAGGACGTAGGCGAGGCTCTCCCTGGGACCCACCCGCAGGACAGAAACAGCCCCAAGCGAGCAGGGTGCTGGGGCTGCAGTCCCGGGGTGAAGGGGACCTGCTTGGGGACCCCCTGCCCCCTCCGTGGGGACTGCGAGGCCCCAGGCTGTACTGCCCTCCCACCAGCCCCCCCCAAGGCTCTGCCTGTGCCCACCTGGTGATGTCCGGCAGCGTGACCAGCCTGCCCGCCTCAAGGGCCGCATTGAAACAGTGGGCCCCTCGCGTCTCCATAGCGACGATGGGCACCTGCTGCCAGCCCACCTTGGCCAGGCCGGCAGCCACCCCGGCCAGGAGGCCCCCGCCCCCCACGGCCAGCACCAGGGCCCCTGGCGTAGTCCTCAGCTCATCCTTCAGCTCCTGCACCAAGCTGGCGTGGCCTTCCCTGGAAGGGGGAGAGCAGGGAGACTCAGCCCCCCACCAAAAGCAAGGGTGAGGGGAGGGGGCCCCTGCAGCTCATCCTGGCAGCGGGAATCCATCCACTGTTCTCTTCGGTTCATTCCTCCCTCCATCAACCCTCAGGAACTTTCTCAGACTTTATCCACTTACTCTGCTTTGGGAAGCAGCTGGCCCGTGCAGTCGGGGCACCCGCGAACCCCCTGTGTATCACGGGAGCCAGCCTGACCCAGGCCCTGGGGACCCTGTGTCTCTGGCACTTGTTGACTGTGTGATTTGGGGCTACTGGCTTGCCTCAGTTTCTTTGACTGTAAAACAGGTTTGAAACATCCTCCTCCAGGGCTTTGGGGAGATTCAATGGGTTAAATGCGCCCTAAAGCAACACTCACAAAGAGGATCTGTGTCTAGGGTTTTACACCCTGGAAACTGAGGCACTGGCGGCAAGATGCTGTGCTAAGTCACATCGCTGCCCCGTGGCAGACTGTGGGGTCTGAACCCCAGTGTTTCTGCCTTTGAAGCCCCTTCTCCTCTGGCCTCTCTTCCCCCTGCGTTCAATGGGAGGACACTGACTCTCTGAGCTCCAGCCTTACCATATCAGGGGGTGGTCAAACGGGGGGACGTTCACCCAGCCATCCCTCTCGACCAGCTCTTGCGCCCTCAGGTTGGCCTCATCCCAGACCTAGACAGATGGTAGCAGCCTCAGAAGACACCTGCTATCTCTGCTCAGCCCCACCCTATTCCCGGCAAATAAGCCCCTTGCACCCCTGAAAAGATCCCGCCCCAGGAGCCTCTGGTCAAGAGAGATGAGGCCAGACAGTAGCCCTGCTTGCAGGCAGCCGCAGAGCACACTGGCCCTCAGGAAGCCCAGGGGGAGGAGCCAGGGGAGGAGGGAGGGGAGGAAGGAGGAAAGGGAGAAGGGGAAGGGGGAGGGGAGGAGGGAGGGGCAGGAGGAAAGGAGGGAGGGGAGGAGGGGCAGAGAGGAGGGGAGGGGAGGAGGGACAGAGGGGGGGAGGGGAGGAAGGGAAAAGGGGAAGGGGAGGGGAAGGGCAGGAGAGGGAGGAGGGCAAGGGGGAGAGAGGAGGAGAGGAGGGAGGGAGGGGGCAGGGGTGTGGGGAATACTGTAGACATTAAGTATCTGGAGGCAGCTTTAGGGGTGATGGGCATGGTTGGCCTTTCAGGTTTATTTTTGATGGCTTTTGAAAGTCTGTTTGCCAAGGAAATTTCCCCCTTCTTCCCAGTAGGGAAAGCATCACCAGGCTGTCTCAGGGCCATGCCCACCAGGCACCCTTCCTAAATGGGGCCTGGAATGGGGAAGGAGGCGCTCGCCTCCCTCATACCCTTGTGCCCTCAGAGGCAAAGTGTAAAGCGGGGTGGGGGTGGGACTGAGAGGGGGGGCGCCATGGCCCCCAGCTTCGGAGGCCTTCCCAGGGTGGGAGGGGCCGGCAGGGAGGGCCTCTGCTCAGTGTACCTCCCTCTCACCCCCTTCAGCTCAGCCACCCTAAGAGAACACGGGGTTCCAGTCAAAGTCCAGCAAAAGGAAAAGCAGACAATCTCTTTGGGGCGAGGTGGGGTGAAGGAGAAACCACCCTTCCAGCGGATTCCCCTGCGGGGGCCTTACCTTTCCAGCCAGCTGAACCTCAGCTCCCTCCCCCTGCAGCCGCCTCACCACCTGCTGGGAGGTGCCCTCAGGGAGCACGATGGTGGCAGGGATGCCCAGTCTCCGGGCAGAGTAGGCAGCCGCGATGCCAGCGTTGCCTCCTGTGGGGGGAGCAGAGGGGACGCAGTGGGCAGTGTTGCACTCACCCGTGGACACACCCTCCTCCTCCAGATCCCCTCCAGGGAAGGGGTGCGCCCTTTTCACTAGGGTTGGTAGGACAGAAGCAAGCCTGGGACGCCTGATGACTGCCTGTGTCATGACGCCAGTGTGAGAATAAATGTATTCTGCAGGAAAGGAGAGTCGAGAGGTACAGAGGAGAGCTCCTGGATCCTACTGTGCCTGAAAGCCACATCCCGACTTAGACTCTTCCGCCTTAGAGCCTGTAGCTTAAGCTGTATGAGCTGGCATTCTGTCACTTATACCACGAGTCCCGATGATGAAAAGAGGCTGGGAGAAGACATCCAGAGACGCTATCTGGCCATGACCTTGATGAAACTGGATCTTTAAGGCGAGGTCTAGTCCTCCATCTACTGCGCTCCAGCCATCTCTTCCTCCTCCACACCCAGCCCTGAGAACCCTCCTGAAGCAAAAGGGATAAGGTCACCTGAGGAGCACACGAGGTGTTTACATCCCTTCCTGGCCATCTGGGAAGAGAAAGAATCCAAACAGAACCCATGAAGGACTGTGTGGGGTGGAGCTGGACATTCCCCATCTCCCTCCACCATTCCCTCATCCCACCCAGCCTGCACCTCTGACCTCTCCCCCTTCCTGTACAACCTCACATCTCCCCTCTGCCCACACATCCTCACCTCCTGGCAGAAATGCCCAATGCCCCGGATCTTGAAGGAGCCAGCAGGCTGCACGTTCTCATACTTGAGGTAGACAGGCATGCCTGCCGCCTGGGACAGCGCCCAGCTCTCCAGCAGCGGAGTGACCACATGGAAGTGCTCGCTCTTGAAGCCCTCCATCCCCACACCAGAGGACCTGCAAGAGGACATGGTGTGTAGTCCAGGCAGCTCCAGCCACGGCCCTTCCCCAGGAAGAAGGTGAAAACCCCTCAGCTTGGTTCGCCTGGCCCCAGCTGGTCACCAGGCCACGAGACTCCAGGTGTGGATCTGGGCCTCTCGGGGCCTCAGTTTCCCCATCTGGTCAAGAGGTTTGGACTAAGGGCCTTTCACTCTGTAACTGGCTGCCACAGTGGTGGGGATGTAGAAATGGCCAAAATGTGGCCCTAAGTGAAGGAAAACGTGGAAGAATTCACTCATCATATTCATTCAAAGAAACATTTACTGAGCACCAGTTAGGTGTCAGGCAGTTTCCAGTTTGGGAACACAGGGATGGGTAAGGGATGACCCTGGGAGAAGGACCAGAAGGGGGCCTTGCTCCGGAAGAGCTGATATGTAGTTGGGGAGACAGAATCAGTGCATTTCACAGGCCTGGCTTGAGAGGGTTTATTTTAGCAAGGAGAGTCAAGACAGGCCTCTCTCAAGAGACTATTTAAAAGAATTCACTTTACTTATTCACGCATACAAGAGCTGGGGTGCAGGCCAGAGGTGTGGGGTTTGAGAGGATCCACCAGACACAAGGTGGGGAGCAAACAGGCAGTTGTCTGGAACACACTGCCGAGGGGAGCAGTGGGGGACGGAGGTCCGCCGTGCCATGTGGGTCAGCTCGCTGGGGGGAATGGAGCTCAGACCTCAGTGGTTGAGACAGCTTCATAGTGCTGAGACTTAACCCCTCGCCACCAGGGGGGCCCTCTCAAGAGGCTTTCAACATTTTATTATGGAAACTGTGACATAGGAGAGCTGTGAAAGGAACTCTGCAGCAGGCTTCGTTCACTCCCCTGCTCTCTCTTATTCTGGCTGTTTGATGGTAACTGGTATGTTTCCCTCCTGTATTACTTCATCTGTAAATATTTCAGTATGTGCTTTCAGGGAAAACTAAAGACCCTTTCTTGTGGTACGACTGACTGTATTTCCTTTGAGGTTTCCTTTCTGAGTCGAGGCTCTGCCGGCTCATCCGGCTCATCTCAGGTGAACACGATCCATCTGTGTCTCTTGCAGAGTGACTGCCAGGAGTCTAGGTGACGCCCGTGACCAAACAGAAAGACAGAGTCCTTACCCGTCACCACACACAGCGGCAGAATTCTTGTGATGAGAACTTGTAACCTGAGTGTGCTAGTCACCTCGCTGTGCGTGACACCCTCAGAACCCACTAATTTTGTCACTGGAATTCCTACCTTTCAACCACAAAGAACTCTCTTATTTTGCAGAAGATAAGCTGGGGTACAGGCCGGAGGTGCAGAGTGAGTGGGTTCATTAGAGACAGAGTGGGGAGCAGAACAGTGTACTGAAGTCCACTGCTGAGGGGAGCAGCGGGCAAGGAAGGAGAGGTCTGCTGTGCCCTGTGGGTCACCCCCCTGGCCGGGGATGGAATTCAGGCCATAGTGATGATAGGATGAGACCCCGAGGCTGCCAGGGAGGCCCCCCACAAAGAACTCTTCCTGAGCAATGTGACCTTAAGACTTCACAACTGTATTCACATCTATAATCACTGAATATTAACAAAAAGCAGGCTACTTTTCTGTTATTATACCTCAGCAATGCTAATTTTTGGCAATGTACCCAGTAGGCCGTTATCAAATCTAAATAGCAGTAATTCCTTAATCAATTACCTGGAGATTGTTCAAATCCAATTATTCAATTGTCCAAGCCTTTGAATAAGGCTGTGTCTAGGATCTGTGCATTCAACTGGTTGGCTCTTTAAACTCTTCTGATCCTTAAGTCCTCAAAGTGGGAGCTTTGAGATGAAGACAAGGGAAGGGAGGGAAAAGCATTCCCACAGTGAAACAGGAGAGCGGACTTGGACTGATGGTGGAGAGAAATGAGCTTGGGAGTCGCCAGAGCAGGAGGGGCCAGGTGCTGGAGAGAGCTGCAGACCAGCGGGACAGGTGAGCAGGGACTTGGGAAGGGCCTTCCAGCCCAGGTGGGAATGACGCTGTTACTCTAACTCCACTTTCAAAACCACCCAGAAGTGTCAGCCAAGTTCCGGGAGAGGGAGTGCGCAGGTCCAACAGAGTGAGCCAGTGGCTAGGAGGCCCGGCTCTGAGGGAGGGACTAAAAGAGGGGGAAGGGCTCAGTGCGCCCCCTTTTGGGCCTCCCTGGTGGTGCAAGGGGCTAAACCGCAGCACCAGGAAGCTGTCATGGGCACCCCTCCACCCTCCACCCCCCACCACCCCCCTGCCAGGGAGGTGACCCGCATGGCTTCTCTCGCCCTCTGCTCTCCTCAGCAGTGCATTTCAATCTCCCTGTTCTGCTCCCTGACCTGTCTCTGGTGAATCCTCTCACCCCTGTAACTCTGGCCTACACGCCAGTTTGTGTATGCATAAATAAATACATCTTTTTTAAAAATTGCAACTCCATGGGCTCTCCTTGGTGGCGCAGCGGGTTAGAGCACCACATTATGAAGCTCTGGGAAGCCACTGCAGCGCAAGTTCGATCCCCAGCCAGGGAGCCGACCCACATGGCGCGGCAGACTTCTCCTAACCCACCCTCTGCCTGTTCTGCTCCCCAATATGTCTCTGGTGAATCCTCTAACTCCCACACTTCTGGCCTGTACCCCAGTTCCGTAAACATAAATAAATAAATCTTTTTAAAAAAATTGCAAGGCTCCTCCTTCCCTCTGGGGTGAGGTTCTGCCCTCCAGCCCACCATCTGCCACCAGGGAGAGCACTGCGCCCTCAACCACCATAAGCCCAGGTTTCTTGTCCCCCCTCATTGGGGCTAGGGCCCCCCATCAGAAGGTTCGAGGTCTCCCCTCCTGTGTGCTTGTTGGGGTGGCCCTGGAATTTACCAGGCAAGGTAAAACCTGTGCCACCTCCACTTATTTCTGTCACAGTCTCCTAGCTGGGATGACCCTGGGAGAAGGACCGTGGGTCACCCAAACCCAGCATACCTCAGCCTGGTCTCACCTCAGTCCTGGAGCCCAAGAACATGGGTTAGTTAGAGGCCAAAGTTAGAACCTGACTCTGACTTTCTAGCTGTGTGACTCAAACATGTATCTTGGTCTCCGGTGCCTGTTTTCCCCTTCAGTAAAATGAGAATAACAATCTCCAACTCACAGGCTGGGTCCAGCAACAATGGCTTCCCTTGTTGCACCCCATTACATGCCAGATATCTGCACAGTCCTCTGGAGGTGTTACCCTACTGGGGCTCTACCATGGGACACCCACAGGTACAGGCCCAGACACCTAGAAAGTGGGGATACCACAGTAAACAAGACAGACATTTACTCTGATTTATAGTCTGATGGGGAGATCAGTATTCATCACATAGTGGTAGAGACAAACAAAATAATCAGGAATGGTGAAAACTTCTCAGAAGAAAATATACATCAGTAGGAGTTCTTTAGAGAATTCTGGTCCGGGGCACCTACTTTGGATAAAGAAAGGCCTCTTGGCAGAAGTGACTGTAAAACTGAGGCCTGAAAAGGAAGAGTGAACTAACTATATGACCAGCTGAGAGAGGAGAGTGTTAGTGCCAGGGTCACTGTGAGGATTAAGTGAGTCACGTGGTTGAGACGTGGACAGTGTGACCAATTTATTACAATAATAGCGAGTGGGTGTATGATCCTGTGAGCCAGGCACTGCACCAAGAGCCTTCTAGATAATCCCATTCCCTCCCCACAACAGCCCTGAGTAGGTTGTATTATTAACTCCATTTTCCAGACAATAAAGTTAAGCCCAGAGGAGTTAAATGACTTGCCCAAAGTCACACAGCTAGATCTGGCATCGCCAGGATTGAAAATCAAGGCCATGCACTCTGTTATCTGTGTTATTGTTATTATTAAAGGCGTGAGCATTTAATACTTAATTCTCAGTCATCCTTCAAGGCCAAATGGGGCCCTCCCTGGCTCAGTCCCTGGGCTCCATGGCCCTCTCGGTTATACAAGAGGTTATACAAGAGGACAGCGGGCATCAGTTAAAGGAATAAGCCCCAAGTTGCCAAGAACTTTATCGAGCGCAGGGTGCAAGCTCCCAGGCCGAAGCCCGGGGCCACGCTGAGGCCTTGGACTAGGGACCTGCAGCTGCCCCTGCGTGCGTGGCCCTGGGAGCTGAGATGGGGACCCCGGGACCTCTCTGCAGAGGTGTGAAGCCGCAGAAGCCCAGTTCAGCCCAGCACAGTGCGACCTTGGCCAACTCACTTGTCCTCACTGGGGGGCTGGCCTGTTGCTTCTCTGAACTGGGGTGAGAACCGTCTACCTTTCTCCTGTCCCTTGTCCCCAGAAGCACCCAGGTGGCCCTAGACAGCCAAATCCCTGCTGCCAGGGCTGGGGAGCCCCAGGCCACAGCTCTACCGGCAGCATGCCCAGCTCTGCCCCTCTGGCAAACGACAGCCACTCCCTGGCTCAGGGTCCCGGGCACCCGGCCTTCTTTCCAAAGCAGACCGAGCCACAGGGCACCCTGAGTTGAATCGATATTCCCGGGAGCGCTGAGGCTGCTCACACCCTCTCTCAGTTTCTGTCCACTGATCCTGGACTTTGCCCCAGAACCTTCCAGACTAGTGTCCACGCACATTCACACATGTCCACAGAGCCCTGTTAGTGCCACCTGGGCCCCAGGGCCCTTACCTTCTTGCAGTTCTCAGGCCAGCCTGCTGCCCACCAGCTGGCCCTGCCGCCCGCTCTGCCAGCTTCCTGCCGCCCTCTGTGGTCTTGGCCCCTCCTCCCATGTTAAAGGGACAGCTCCCAGCTGGAGGAGGACAGGGGAAGAGGTCAGCCTTCATCTGGCTGCCATATGCCCTCTGCACACACAGACGCCTTCCCTGACTCACGTAACAGACTTACCAATCTAAGGCTCAGAGCGGGGGCTCACCTGCCCACACCACCGGCCAGCGAGGAGCACCCTTCACCTCCCGCCCTGGACCACCCCTTCAGGACACAGGAATCTCCAGATTCTGTTTTTATTTTTAAGTTTTTTTTAAAGATTTATTTATTTATGCATACAAGCATAAATAAACTTCTGGGGTACAACCCAGAAGTCCAGGGGCGGTGAGAGGGTTTCACCAGAGACAGAGTGGGGAGCAGAACAGGCAGATCCACTGAAATACACTGCTCAGAGAGGAGCAGCGGGGAGGTCAGGTGAGGTCTGTTGCGCCCTGTGGGTCACCTCCGGGGCCGGGGGTGGAACATGCACTGAAGCAGCTGCCGCCAGCTTGCAAGGCTGCGTCCTAACCCATCACGCCTCCAATGAGGACCCTCTCCTGATATTCTTAGTCCAAGTTCTGGCCTTGCCCCGAATGACAGGCCATGCCCCATCGGGGCAGAAGGAGATGAGATCATGGCCGCTGTTACCTGAGAAAGGCAGGCTCCTTCTGAAGCTCCTTGGCTCCACTGATCTACACGTGATGTTTTATACCCAAACAATTCTTGATTGTTCACATGAATGATGCTGATGATTCATTCACTCATTCATTCTGCAAGTGTTTATTGAATACCTACTATGTGCCAAGCTCCAGGACCTTTAGGCTCAAATAAGACAGCATGTTCCCTACCCTCTTGCAGGCCCCGGGAGCCCTGCAACGTGGGTCTATCAGGACTATCAGATTTGGGAGGTGGAGATGGGGTAGATCCCTCACCTGGCCCAGGCGGCTGGGAAGGCTTCTTGGAGAAGGGAAGGACTGGGCTGAGCCAGGAATCAGGCACATGGAGTGCAAAGGTCTGGAAGTGGAAAACATGGTATGTTCCAGAAAGGGAGAAGGGCCGATGGAACTGGGGCGAGAAGGCAGGGGTGGAGCAGCAGCCCAGTTCAGGACTGGAGAGGTGGGCAGGGACCGGAGTCCACAGGATGCCTGTGCCAATCCAGAGTGGACCTTACTCAGGGACACTCGGGAGCTGGAGATGGCTTAAGGCAGGGGGTTGAGATGACCAGGTCCTTGTCTGGCACCTGCTACCGTCTCATTGGGTGAACTTGAGCTGATCGCCTCCCTCTCTATCAGGGCTTCAACTTCCCCATCTGTCAAAGGAGAAGGGAGGTCCTGGAGGGTCCTGGTAGCCCAGATGCCCTGTGTCCTTCTTGGACCGTGCGCCCTCCCAGGTTTGATGATTAACTCCTGGCTGCGTGGGGTCAAATGGACCTGCTTAGCCAGGCGCCTTCATGAGGACTCTGCATCTCTATCGGCTCATTAAGCATTCACCCATCCTAGTCAGGGGCTTGTTCTGGACTGGACATGAGGTGGTAAAATCCAGTTTGTGCCCCGAGGCGGCCTGCAGCCTGCCAGGAACAGGAAGACAACCCATTCAGCGACACTGTCCCCGTCCCCGCCCCCAAGAAGACAGACACAGAAGGTCTCCGCAGTGCTGGCATGAGGTGGGGTCAGGGAGGGCTTCCTGAGAAGCGGCGCCTTAGCACCCAGCTCAGGCTTGGACAAGAAGTGTGACAGCTGCTGTCCCTAATGCCTGCTTTGGCCAACACATCTCAACACAGTTACTGGTGGGCTATTTACTTCTATGCACCAGGAGATAGATGTATAATTTCATGAATATTATCAGTTAGGAATAAGCTAACGCAGGAACTGAAGTCTAAAAATGAACTTTTTAAAAAAGCTTATTTATGCATACAGAATTGGGGTACAGGCCAGAGGCTCAGGGGCGGTGAGAGGATTCACCCGAGACAGAGTGGGGAGCAGAACAGGCAGATCAATGAAGTACACTGCTGAGGGGAGCAGTGGGCAGGTCAGGAGGGGTCTGCCACGCCATGTGGGTCACCTCCGTGGAGAGGATCAAACTCATGCTGAAGTGGCTTTAGCTGTGCTTTAACGTGCTGCACCACCAGGGAGGGCCCTGAACTATGCTTTTTAAAAAATCTTAAGTAATAGCTGTAGGTTTCTGGCATGAAGAGGCAGGACTCTGTCGAAAGTTAGAACGCAGATCCCAGAACCAGACTCTGGTGCTTCTAACTGGCTGTGCAAACTTGGGAAACTTATATAACCTCTCTGTGCCTTGATTCCTCAAGCGTAAGCTGGGACAAATTGCAAACCATTTCCTTATTGAAGCGAACACAGGTAAAATAGAGCAGTAGAAAGTGTTCTGTTTCCTGCTATTCTTGTTCTTTTATTTTAAAGAAGTGGTAAAATTACAAAGGTGATACATGAATGTCAGAAGTTTGGAGAAATGACAGTTTTACATCCCAGAATTTCTTATGCCACCCTGGCGAGCTGGGTGTTGTGAATGAATTCTGCATGGTAGCGTCTTGGCCCAGAAAGGCCAAGTCGCTTTCCTAAAGTCACACAGCAGTGACAGCACCAGGCTTCACACTGGAGTGCTGGACTCTAGAGCGCCTGACTTGGAAGAGGGTGGAGTGTAGACGCCAGGAGTGGCCATATCAGAAAGCAGATAAGCCTGTACAGGCCAGGTCACTGAACTGTCCCCTCCCGATACCACCTTCGTCAGCCAGCCCCTGGCCCTGACACCCCAGGCCGCCAAACACCCACCCTGACCTATCCCCTGGGTTATTCATTAAGCTTCATTTCACCATCCTAACCCCCAGCTGGCCTTTCTGTTCCAGGGACCAGGAGCCACATGGAGAGAGACCTGGGACACAGGTGAGTGGCACTCTTGGTTTATGGCTTGACCCTGGTCTCTACGTCATAGACTCCTCAGGTTACGGTGCCTTAGTTCCACTAAACAGGCTGTGGGACTGGGTGTTGGGTCACCAGGCAACCAGCCTAGCTAATGAGGAAGCCCACTGGGGCTTAGAACCAAGTCTCCTAACACCCAGTACATCTTAGCTAACTTGTGATACTCTCGCCAAGATGGTCAGTCATTCTAGACCATGGAGGACCTCCAAATAGGGGCCACATTTTGCTAGCTGCAGCTGATGCATCCAGTGTCCTCTGAGAGGGTCATGACTCCTATCCGCCACTGTCCCCACCTCTCCTTATTGCCTCCCCAAGACCAAAGAGGCTCCTGCCTGACCCCTGGACATATTTGCATGTGAACCCCTTGTCCCCTGGGCAGTTACCAAGAGAGAAACTGAGGTGCAGAAATTAGTAACTTGTCTCCCATTGCTCAGTAAATAGGCTTCAGGACCCATCTGGAAGGGACCCTAGATGCTCTTGTCCTGAGAGACTTACAAATTCCGAGTCTCCAAGTCTAAGCTGAAAGGGTCTCAGCAGTTTATCTCATCCTTTCTGTTTGTGGCTGGGGAAGTGATACCCAGAGGAAAGAAGGCGGGAACAGTTTAACACCTCAAACTCAAGAAAAAATTCTGGTCCGCATGAACTATGCTTTCAGAATTAAGCTATTTCCTTGCGTTCAGCAAGCACTCAAGCCAGCAACTTCTCAGCCTTGTGGAAGGAGAGAGGGAGACAAATAAGATCCCTTGCTAGCCCTCCGGGGCTTACAGTTGATACAGAAGCAAACAAACGGAGCAGTGAAGCATCACACAGTTGCAGAACCAGAAAGTGGAGCAATGATAAAACACCATCTTTTGAACTATTCCGTTGGGTAAAACAGTCTAAAAAAAATGACAACCAAGGCTGGTGAGGGAAAACGGGTACCTGACCTGGCTCGGCTGTGAGCAGGTTGCTATGCCTGTGTGTCACTCTCCACGACAGTCTGATCAATGCCCATCCCCTCGAGCAGGAACTCTTCATCTGGGGAACTTTTTCTGGAAAAAAAGGACGTGTGAGGATAGAAGTGGGTGTGAGTGTTTTTATCAGGGTGCTGCTTAATAAGTAGCATCGACAGCAAATCTGGGGTCCGTGGATATCCTTGAATTGGGGTGTGTTTGACTAAGTCCTGATGCACCTTTGCCCTGGAATTGTATGCAAGCAACACAGGAAAGGATTAGATCTAAAACTAGTGACCAACAAGAGACATTCGCCATGCATGATCATTGAGCGAAGAGGAGAGAAATGTTCAGTCTGTAATGAAATGTTACAAACAATAAAAATAAGCTTCGACTATGAAAAAGATAGTGATTCCAAAGGGGAGAGAGCAGGGGATGGGCTGGGGTCACTGGAGCGCTGGGTGGGGGTGAGTGAGGCAGGGGCACCAAGGGAGGGGTGGCATGGTGCCCCCAATGACACAGTTATGGAAGCGGTTGCAAATCAATACAATTTGAGAAGGATAAAAAGCGTCTGATGTAGGTGTCTGTGGCTGGGGAGGCGATGCTGATAACGCCGTTACCTGTGGAAGTGGGGTGCAGAGAGGAGGGCCCAGGGCCTTCATGAACATGTGGTGTTGCCGAATCTCTGTTCTCCACCGTGGGGACCACACGCCGCTGTAGCTGCCGAGCCTTCTGGGTGTGCCACGGAGGGACTGAACTGGAAGTGTGCTTAATTTTGAATGATTTTTTAAAAAGATTTATTCATTTGTGCACACAGAACTGGGGTACAGGCCAGAGGTGCAGGGGGTGAGAGGACTCCCCAGAGACAGAGTGGGGAGCAGGACAGGCAGATGGACTAGGTACACTGCTGAGGGGAGCAGCGGGGAGACAGGAGAGGTCTGCCGCGCCATGTGGGTCACCTCCCTGGCTGGGGATTGAACTCGGGCAGCAGTGGCTGCGGACAGCTTCATAGTGTTGTGCTTTAACCTGTGGCACCACCGGGGAGGACCCACTTTTGATGGATGTTAATGTAAACAGCTACACCGGGCAGTGCCCACAGATGGAGAATCATTTA